TATGTTTTATTAAAACAGTCAACATGGCTTATGTTTAGATTTGTAACTTTTTGGATCGCACTGATAGGTTCTCTGATTCGAATAATAAGGCCCATTTTAAAATTCAAAGCCTTATAAATTACTCTACAGCTAGAGTACTATATATGTTGACTTTCCCATGTAAAAAAAAGTATATTGGTAAAACTAAAAGGCAGCTTAAAGTGCGAATAGGTGAACACTTTAGAGATATTAAATCGAATGATCCTGAAAGTAATTTTGCTCAACATTGTGCAAAATAGCATGGAGGTAAACTAGAGGGCACTAAAGTCAAAGGAATTTATACACTTAATTTTCCGCAGAGGAGAGGTGATTTTGATAGAGAACTTTTAAAAAGGTGAAAAACATTGGATATATAAAACTTGATACTTTATCCCCTAAAGGGTTAAATGTTGAATTTGACCTCCAAGTGTTTTTGCAAAAATAAGAAGACTTGCAGCATAAGTCTGTCCCCTGCCATCTGTAGGTGATGAAGATAGTTATTAAGAACTCCATATAAATGACACTGTGTGAATTTAAGAATATTCTCTTCCCACTGTGTAGCCAGGTATCTGCATATTTATCTGTGTTCTATGACCAGTTATTTGCTGATTATTTTAGTACTTTTCCCACTGAGTTTAATTGCCACCAGCTGATTTACATATATGGGCGGTCACAAGCCTATTATAAATAATGCATGTAGGGTAGGCAAGCTGAGTAAGATATGCCCATTGGCGAAACGCGTTGACGTCATACGTCAGATACGTCACTTCGGGTCGGACACCTTGGCGCCACACACGTAGTCCATCAGGGGAGGTGGTAATACACGCCGGCATTCGGAGGTGTCAGGCTGCACGTGTACCAGGACGGGAGTGGAGCCCGTCTGCTTCTAGTCCCGATGGTGGCGGCTGCCTCCGGGACCATGGGCGGTTATCCTGACGAGGGAAACTCTTCAAGAATATCACCTAAGGCATGGGTGGTGAGTGATATGCAGCACATGTAAATGGGAATACGGCATATAATTGCCATTGCCTATCTACCTAAAGTGACTCACTTACTGACTTCCGATATGTCACCTATTTATTTCAGGATGGGGACATCATGTTATACTACCTAAAGGTGCACAGCACCCTATGTTTACTAACAGGCATGGATGCTCCTGTATTCAACATTACAGTATTATCATTAAGGAGGTGTGTAGCCCGCACATTGCGGTGAAGGGCCCTGACATTTTTACTACACTGTGGAAGTCACATGGTGACGATACTATGGCTATCAAGTTCATCTTATCAAGTATCATGGACATGACTGCTGCTGTTTGATACCTCATCACCTACTTTTGCCAAACTAAACCTACCAGAACTACTACCTGTTCTGGTTATTACCCAGCTAGTGGTTGTGGAGGTATATTGTCTCTATATATCTCTCAACAGTCTAAATATACCTGTTTAGGTTTTATTGGGCTACTATATTCATTGTCTGGTACTTATGATCAGCCATATACTGCACTGATTGTTATGCCATTTTGGTACAATTTTTTGAAACACCCCCTGTATGGCAGAGTAACCATTGTGTCAGTGCTGCATGTGTGTTAGACTAAGTGTCATTATATTTGCAGAACTTCATTAATTTGACCGGTAATGATGTCTGTTTTTAAGTGATTTTAGCTCAATTTTGATGTATTATCTCATACTGAGGAGATGGCTAACTGAGGTATTTACCTTTTATATGTCCATATGTGTATTGTGTAATAAAACATAATTTTTTGAATTACTTTGAGTATCGCTTTCTGTCCATTATGTAACCGCTTCTCTGTGAATCTCTCTTCGCGTCCTTTTTTTTGCTGTATGGTTTTTTGGTTACTGGGCAGATAATGTACGTTCAGCGATACATGTTATTTATAAGCCCCTTATTTTTTGTAATTCCAGCAGGTATGGCAGCAACCAGTATACAGGCCAGGTGTGGATGCAGGAACATAGGTGCAGCAGCAGGTAGGTATGGCGGTAACCAGGATACAGGCCAGGTGCAGATACAGGAATGTAGGTGCAGACAAGCCTGGTCAGGATCAATCGGGCAGATCAGGTACAAGGGAACAGGCAAGCGGATAGTCAGGGATAAGCCGGGGCGGTGCAGGCGGAGTCAGAGGCAGACTGACAACTCATAGGGGATCATGGGGCCCCTGTGTCCTTGCCCACACTCAAAACACACCCAAAAAAGACTAAAAAAAAAAAAAGGTAACGGGCATTTCATGGGGCCCCCCTACTGAACCTGGGCCCTCGGGCAGTGCCTGAGTGCTCGACTGGTCAGTCCGCCCCTAGGCGGAGTACTTTCTTAGTCAGGGTCAGATCAGATACAGGCAACAGAATCAGGTTATGAAGTACAGAACGTTGTAGACCAGAAGACATAGGCTAAACTGTGTTGGTGATTTAAATAGCTCGCCTTGTGATGACATGCACGATAACCGCACGATCCCGTGCATGCGCACACTCGCATTGCCGCAGCTGACAGGGATCCGGAGCATAGATATGCGTCGGCGAGGGAACGATCCCTGATAGTGCCTCCTCCCTAAGGGCAGCCTCTGGATGCCCAACTGGGCCATTTTCTCTGGATGCCTGCGTCTGAATGCCAAGATTAAATCTTTAACGTGGATGTTGGATTCCGGTTCCCATAAATTGTCTTCAGGTCCATATCCTTTCTATTTAATTAAATATTGGAGCTAGTTCCTCCTCTTTCTACAGTCAATAATTGTCTCTACCTCATATTCCTCTTCGCCATTGATGATCACTGGCTCAGGAGGCCCCGATTCCTGATCAGGAAAGGGATTAGAGACTGAGGTTTTGAGCAGTGATACGTGAAATACAGGGTGAATCCTTAGTGATTCAGGTAATGTAAGCTCGTATGCTACAACATTAATCTTCCTTTTTACTGGGAAGAGTCTCACGAACCTGGGGCTAGCTTCTTTGAGGGACAAATCAATTTTAAATTGGCTGTTGACAACCATACTTCCAAGCCAGGTTCCAGGATCAGGTCCCCCTTCCTTTTCCTGTCAAACAATCTTTTGTTGTCTAGTTGAGCTTTTGTGATTGTCTCCTGTAGCACCTTGTTGTTTTGCTGAAGGAATTCAAAAGTGTTTTGGTCCACTGAAATTGATGATTCAGGCACTATATTGGATAGAAACACAGGATGAAATCCATAATTAGAGAATAAGGGGGACTGTTTCGTGGCCGAGTGTTTTGAATTATTATATGCAAACTCGGCCAAGGGTAAAAGTGATACCCAGTCTTCTTGGGAGAATGACGTAAAACAGCGAATGTATTGTTCCAAGGCCTGGTTGGTTCTTTCCGTTTGCCCATTGGTCTGAGGGTGATAAGCGGAAGAGAATGAGAGTCCCATTTTCAACTTTTCACAGAGTGCTTTCCAGAATTTTTAAATGAATTGTACCCCTCGATCCAAGACAATGTTCCCAGGAACATCATGGAGCTTCACCATCTCTCTTATGAAGATTTGGGCCGTCCCTGCTGCAGACAGTACTCCCTTCATGGCCATACAATGGGCCATTTTAGAAAAAAACTATCCACTATAACGAAAATGGCCAAACATCCCTCTGATGGTGGCAGTTCTACAATGAAATCCATTGAGATCATTTTCCACGGTCGATCAGGGACCGGTAGGGGCCTCAGTAATCCCCAGGTCTTGCTTCAGTTGCCCTTGTTCCATATACATGTGGGGCAGGAATTTATATAAGCCTTGCAGTCCTTCTCCCACTCAGGCCACCAGAACAGGTGCTGCACTAGGTCTAAAGTCTTGTGAACCCCGAAATGTCCTGCCAGAGGATTGTCATGACATAACCATAAAATTACCAATCTGATACTTTCTGGTGCAAAGATCTTGTCTCCTGACCATAGTAAACCTTCTCTAGTGGATAGTTACTCCTGGTGGGGAAGGAGCCCTTAAAGATGCCTGCTGGATTTGTGAAAAAAGGTCTGTTTGTAAAAGACAGAAGTTGCCTGCTGAGAGCACCGTATCAGGGGTAGGAGGATCCATCGAACATCCTAGACAAGGCATCCGGTTTGATATTCTTAGGGCCTGGTCTGTAAGTAATGTGAAATATGAGCCTGGAGAAAAAAAGTGCCCACCTGGCTTGTCAGGGTTTTAGACGTCTCGCAGTCTTCAGGTACTCCAGATTCTTGTGATCGGTATAGATCAAAATGGGGTGTGCTGCTCCCTCTAAAAGGTACCTCCATTCCTCTAAGGCTGGCTTGATGGCAAGTAATTCTCGATCCCCTACATCATAGTTTCTTTCTGCAGGGGATAGCTTACAGGAAAAAAAAGCGACTGGATGAAGTAAGAGTTTCAGGCCTTGTCGCTGTGATAGGACGGCCCCAACAGCATTCTCCAAGGCATCTACCTCTACCACAAAGGGTAGTGCTGGATCTGGATGGCTTAATATGGGTGCTGAAGTAAATAGTCCCTTTAATGAGTCAAAAGTGCTTTGGGCTTCTGGTGTCCAACAGAATCAGACCCCTTGTCTGGTCAGTTGGTTGATAGGAGCGATGATAGCTGAATCCTTTGATAAATCTCCTATAAAAGTTTGCGAAGCCTATGAAACGTTGTATTCCTTTTTTATCAGATGGTGCAGGCCACTCCAGGATGGCAGAGACTTTCTGGGGATCCATCCTAAAGCCTTCAATGGATATAATTAATCCTAAGAATTGAATGCTGTTAGGGATCCGGGTATGACCAGAAATGTGTGGACTGACACAGGGAAGTAGCAGGCTTCAGGAACACAGGCGTAGTCAGGCTGGAGAGGTGGAATGGTCAGGCAGGCCGTAAGGTACTGTCAGGTGCCGCCTGGCAGTGTCTCTAGCAGCCCACAACACGGATTTCCTCAGGGCGCGGGTCTAAGTCCCAGCCTGCTATTCACCAGGGCCCCCTGATGGTGGGGATGGACTTGGTGCAGACTGGAACCAGGTCGCGACCCCTGAGCGCATCCGGCTGTGGTAGAGAGTACTGGCAGGGGAGTGCAGGAATGGAGTCTGATGGGAAGAGGCAGGCAGACTTACTAAAGATGATCCATGCGGGATGGATGGATCGTCGGGTGAAGTAAGCGTAGTCAGACAGGCCGGGTCGGTATCGTGCGGGCAGCATGGTACAGGAGGAGCAAGCAGAGAATGGTCAGGCAAGCCAGGGGTTCAACAGGAGATGGTCAGCAGAGGTCAGGATCAAAGCAGGGTGAGCAACGAGGCAGGAACACAGGATACCAGGTACAGGGGCTCATGGGAAACATACACCAAGGCCCTGATCACAGGCCTGGTCATTCCGGGCACCGAGTCATCTGGCACGACAGCGGGCAACAAGTCACCTGGCAGAACAGCGGGCAACGAGTCATCTGGCAGAACAGCGGGCAACGAGTCATCTGGCATGACAGCAGGGACGAGTCATCTGGCACGACAGCGGGCACCGAGTCATCTGGCACGACAGCGGGCACCAAGTCATCTGGCAGAACAGCGGGCAACGAGTCATCTGGCAGAACAGCGGGCAACGAGTCATCTGGCACGAGAGCGGGCACCGAGTCATCTGGCACAACAGCGGTTAACGAGTCATCTGGCACGACAGCGGGTACCGAGTCATCTGGCACAACAGGGCACTGAGTCACCGTGCAAGTCAGTGGGCACCGAGTCATCGAGCACGTCAGCGGGCACCGATCCATCTAGCAAAACCGTGGGCACCGGGTCACCAAGCTCGACAGCGGGCACCGAGTCATCTGGCACGTCCATGGGCACCGAGTCACCGGGCAAGTCAACGGGCACCGAGTCATTGAGCACGTCAGCGGGCACTGAGCCATCTAGCAGAACCGCGGGCACTGGGTCACCAAGCACAACAGCGGGCACCGAGTCATCTGGCAGAACAGCGGGCACCGAGTCATCTGGCACGACAGCGGGCACGAGTCATCTGGCACGACAGCGGGCACCGAGTCATCTGGCACGACAGCGGGCAACGAGTCATCTGGCACGACAGCGGGCACTGAGTCACCGGGCAAGTCAGCGGGCACCAAGTCATCGAGCACGTCAGCGGGCACCGATCCATCTAGCAAAACCGCGGGCACCGGGTCACCAAGCTCGACAGCGGGCACCGAGTCATCTGGCACGTCTGCGAGCACCGAGTCACTGGGCAAGTCAGCGGGGCACCGAGTCATTGAGCACGTCAGCGGGCACTGAGCCATCTAGCAGAACCGCGGGCACTGGGTCACCAAGCTCAACAGCGGGCACCGAGTCATCTGGCAGAACAGCGGGCAACGAGTCATCTGGCAGAACAGCGGGCAACGAGTCATCTGGCACGACAGCGGGCACCGAGTCATTTGGCACAACAGCGGACACACCGAGTCATCTGGCACGACAGCGGGCACCGAGTCATCTGGCACAACAGCGGGCAACCAGTCATCTGGCACGACAGCAGGCACTGAGTCACCGAGCAAGTCAGCGGGCACCGAGTCATCGAGCACGTCAGCGGGCACCGATCCATTTAGCAAAATCGCGGGCACCGGGTCACCAAGCTCGACAGCGGGCACCGAGTCATCTGGCACGTCCGCGGGCACCGAGTCACCGGGCAAGTCAGTGGCACCGAGTCATCGAGCATGTCAGCGGGCACTGAGCCATCTAGCAGAACCGCGGGCACCGGGTCACCAAGCTCAACAGCGGGCACCGAGTCACCTGGCACGACAGCGGGCACCGAGTCATCTGGCAGAACAGCGGGCACCGAGTCATCTGGCACGACAGCGGGCACCGAGTCATCTGGCACGACAGCAGGCAACGAGTCATCTGGCACGACAGCGGGGCACTGAGTCACTGGGCAAGTCAGTGGGCACCGAGTCATCGAACACGTCAGCGGGCACCGATCCATCTAGCAAAACCGTGGGTACCGGGTCACCAAGCTCGACAGCGGGCACCGAGTCATCTGGCACGTCTGCGGGCACCGAGTCACCGGGCAAGTCAGCGGGCACCGAGTCATCGAGCACGTCAGCGGGCACTGAGCCATCTAGCAGAACCGCGGGCACCGGGTCATCAAGCTCAACAGCGGGCACCGAGTCATCTGGCACGACAGCGGGCACCGAGTCATCTGGCACGACAGCGGGCACCGAGTCATCTAGCAGAACCGCGGGCACCGGGTCACCAAGCTCGACAGCAGGCACCGAGTCATCTGGCACGACAGCGGGCACCGAGTCATCTGGCAGAACAGCGGGCACCGAGTCATCTGGCTGGGTCAGGTCATCAGGCGGATCGGGTCATCGGGCATCAGGGCATCAGGCTGGAAAACGGAAGGCGGGTCCTCAGACAACAGGCTGACCGGTTTGGATACTGGTAGGATGGTACTGGTTGGAAAGAATTTTCGCTTCTTCTTGGGTTTAGTTACTGGAGCACTGTAAGTGAATGCAGGTCTGTAAATGGATGGAGCAGCTGAAGACAGGGAAGAGCCGGAGGATTGAACAAAGGAGGGAGCAGTTGCTACAGAGGGCTTCTTTACAGGGTAAAAGGCAGGATAGGTGCAGCGAGTGGGAGCAGGGGACTGACATGTGGTAGCTAGCAGGGTGTACTGGCTGTCACTGGGGGTGCTGTGGGAACTGGAGGAAGAGAGCTTTGAGCAGAGTAATGTTAGAAGCAGGACTAGGTTGTTGCAAGCTGACTGAGGCTGGATGTAACAAATCTGACCATGCAGTACTGGCTGAACAAAGCTCAGCTTACACAAAGCCTGTCTGACCAAAGACTGCACTGCGTTTATACAATCCCTTAGCACCTGTTGTGAACATGCAGAATAATGCTCCAAGAAGCAATCCACATCATCCTCTAATAACCATACCAGGGACTCTACCTGGTCTGCACTAAATGGCGGCAAAATGTCATCCCTTCCCTCAGGGGCACCAGACGAAGCCAACTCTGCACAAACCTGAATCAATGGCGCACCTCAGAGAACTCTGTGCCCTGATCCACTAGAAAATGAGCGATCCGTATGCATTCTAGCAGCTGATCCCTGGTATACTCCTGCAGAGTCTCATAGGCATAATCTCTGTCATCAAAGACTAGCAGACACAAATATACAACATCCTCAGGATGCATCCTTCACAACAATAAGCCAAGATGGCTTCCCTGTGCAGCCACTTCTGGTCAGGACTGGCCTTGGTGTTCTGTTAGGGATCCGGGTATGACCAGAAATGTGTGGACTGACACAGGGAAGTAGCAGGCTTCAGGAACACAGGCGTAGTCAGGCTGGAGAGGTGGAATGGTCAGGCAGGCCTGTCAGGTGCCGCCTGGCAGTGTCTCTAGCAGCCCACAGCACAAATTTCCTCAGGGCGCGGTGTCTAAGTCCCAGCCTGCTATTCACCAAGGCCTCTGATGGTGGGGATGGACTTGGTGCAGACTGGAACCAGGTCGCGACCCCTGAGTGTGTCCGGCTGTGGTAGAGAGTACTGGCAGAGGAGTGCAGGAACTGAGACTGACTATGGGAAGAGACAGGCAGACTTACTAAAGGTGATCCATGCGGGATGGATGGATCGTCGGGTGAAGTAAGCGTAGTCAGACAGGCTGGGTCGGTATCGTGCGGGCAGCGTGGTACAGGAGGAGCAAGCAGAGAATGGTCGGGGTCACAAGCCAGGTTCAGCAGGTAGCGGGCAATGTGGTACCGAGGATCAGGCAGAAGGATGGTCAGGCAAGCAGGAGTTCAACAGGAGACGGTCAGCAGAGGTCAGGATCAAAGCAGGGTCAGCAACGAGGCAGGAACACAGGATACCAGGTACAGGGCTCATGGGAAACATACACAAAGGCCCTGATCACAGGCCTGGTCATTCCTTAAATACACCTCCTGCAATCAGCCCCAGTGTTGGCTGACTACAGGAGTGAGCTTCTGGCTGCTGAGAGCACCCGCTGCTCAGCCCTGGTACTGCAGCCCACACGGCAGGTGAGTCCCACCACCAGTGCTGAGTCCATTCCTGACAAATGCTCTGGGATTCAAACTCGCATTTTTCTGGCTTTGCATATAGTCCGTGTAGTCTGAGGTGACCGAGGACCTTCTGCACATGTCCTCGGTGAAGTTCAATACATGTGGAAAAAATCAGAATGTCATCACGTAGACTATCACAAAAGTATCTAAAAAGTGTCTGAAAATGTCATTTACCAGGTTGCAGGAGCATTACATAGTCCAAAGGCATGACTAGGTACTCGAAATGCCCAAATCTGGTACGGAAGGCCGTCTTCCACTCATCTCCTTCCCGGATTCGTATGAGATTGTATGCTCCTCTTAAGTCCAGCTTGGTAAATATGGTTGCAGACCTGAGTCTTTGGAATACAGTTGTGACCAAAATTATTCAACCCCCAATGCTGTAAAGGGGTTTAGGGACTATAGTGTACATTTGGAATTGTATTCAGAACAAGGACGTTGTAACTACCCAAATGCAACTAAAATGACATCAATTGTTTATGTAATACAGTAGTAAATGGTTCTTATGTGGTTTCTTCATTGCCACAATTATTCAACCCTTAAAGACTACCACTCTGAAGAACAGAGGTTCATACAGGTGCTTTCCATCAGGTATTGAAAACACCTGTGGATGTCACCGAGCAGCAATCAAGCATAATAAGCACCAATTAGGCAGCTTTAAAATGACTGTGATACTCAGCTCCTTCTAGACATTTACTGGTGTGGTTACAAACATGGTGAAGGCAAGAGAATGGTCCAGGAAGACAAGAGAAGAGGTGATTTCTCTTCACAGGAAGGGCAATGGCTATAAGAAGATTGCAAAGATGTTAAACATACCAAGAGACACCTTAGGAAGCATCATTCGCAAATTCAAGGCAAAGGGCACTGTTGAAACGCTACCTGGTCGTGGCAGAAAGAAGATGCTGACTTCGACTGCTGTGCGCTACCTGAAGCGTAGAGTGGAGAGAAGTCCCCGTGTGACTGCTGAGGAACTGAGAAAAGATTTGTCAGATGTGGGTACAGAAGTTTCAGCCCAGACAATAAGACGCACACTGCGTAATGAAGGCCTCCGTGCCAGAACTCCCAGGCGTACCCCCTTGCTGTCTCCAAAGAATAAGAAGAGTCGACTGCAGTATGCCAAAAGCCATGTGGACAAACCACAAAAGTTTGTGGGATAGTGTTCTGTGGACTGATGAAACAAAATTAGAACTGTTTGGGCCCATGGATCAACGCTATGTTTGGAGGAGGAAGAACAAGGCCTATGATGAAAAGAACACCTTGCCTACTGTGAAGCATGGTGGAGGGTCAATCATGCTTTGGGGCTGTTTTGCTTCTGCAGGTACAGGGAAGCTTCAGCGTGTGCAAGGTACCATGAATTCTCTTCAGTACCAGGAGATATTGGATGGAAACGTGATGCAGTCCGTCACACACCTGAGGCTTGGGAGACGTTGGACCTTTCAACAGGACAATGATCCCAAGCATACCTCCAAGTCCACTAGAGCATGGTTGCAGAGGAAAGGCTGGAACATTTTGGAGTGGCCATCGCAGTCACCAGACTTAAATCCGATTGAGAACCTCTGGTGGGACTTAAAGAAAGCAGTTGCAGTGCGCAAGCCTAAGAATGTGACTGAACTGGAGGCCTTTGCCCATGAAGAATGGGCGAAGATACCCGTAGATCGCTGCAAGACACTTGTGTCAAGCTATGCTTCACGTTTAAAAGCTGTTATAACTGTAAAAGGATGCTGTACTAAGTACTAAGATTGAATGTCACTTGGGGGTTGAATAAAACTGATAATGCTGTGAGCACAGAAAAGACATTTGTGGTTATTTCATTATAACTGTTATGTTATATTTGTCTGACCTACAAGTGCCTCTTTAATGTAAATGTAAGCAAGATGACTGAATGATCAAAAGCAATGTCAAACTGGCCAAAACACTCAATTTCAGTGGGGGTTGAATAATTTTGGTCACAACTGTAGTTCTGGGACTGATGGCAGGGGATATCTGTTCTTAACCGTAATATTCTTAACTCGTGTTAGTCTACACATGGACGGAGGGAATGATCTTTCTTTTCTACAAAGAAGATACCTGGTCCTGCTAGTGAGATGGAGGGGTGGATGAACGCCTTGTTTAGATTATCATCAATGTAGTCTTTCAGTGCCTCCAACTCAAGCTCTGACAGTGGGAAGATCCGACTGAAAGGAATCTCTGCCCCGGGTAGTAGTTTAATTGGGCAGTCATAGGGTCTGTGGGGTGGAAGGCTGCCTGCACCACGTTTACTAAAAATGTCCAGGAAGTTATGGTAGGCTGCAGGAACGATTTGGCCTACCTTGGCATAACTGTCCATACACAGCAGGGGCATAGGTCAAGCAGGAATTTGGGGTAAGCAAAGCTCATGGCAGTAGGACCGATTGAAAGTCCACTTCACCAGATACCCGCTTCACCAGATACCCAATTCACGCTGGGGTTGTGGGCCTGTAACCATGGAATTCCCAAGATAACTGGAAACAGTGGTGATGCAATAACATCCAGGCATAGTAGTTCCTTGTGATCAGGTGGAGGTATTACAACGGGTAGTGGGATAGTCTCCTGAGTGACAGCCCCAGATTTAATCTTGGATCCATCAGCCAAATATACTGTCAGTCTTTGTGTTTTGGCTGTTAAGGGTATCCGATGTTGCAGGGCGAAAGAGTTGATAAAGCAGCTGCAGGCCCCGGAATCAACGATAGCGGACACTGGCAGGGTTCCTCCCAGTAACCTGGAATGAAGCGGAAATGGCAATGTGAGCAGGGTTGATGGTTGCAGGTGGTAGCTTAGCAGGCAAGGAGGTCAGAGACTTGCGTAGCTTTGCGGGACAATTTCATTCATAATGGCCGGGTTCTCCACAATAGAGGCACAGGTTACCCTGTCGGTGGCATTGGCGTTCCTCCGGAGTAAGTAAGGTTCATAGCAACCCTAATTTCATTGGTTCGGATTCTTCAACACTGGGTGTAGTAGGACTAGTTGGTACCGTGTTTTGCTGGAGGTGGTGCCCTGGGTAGCATCCA